GGTAATGATATTGTTCCTATAACTTTAATCTGTTTTAATTTTAATATTTGCATTTTGCTTTTATTCATTTGTCGTAGCATTCAACAGAATCATTGTTTTCGCCGTCAGACAACATACACTAGGTTTGTATTGGCAAACTATAAAATGTCTAGCTATTACAGTTCTGTTATAAATTCACTATAAGTATCAGCAGATCGCCTGCTTTTTATTTAGTTTCAAAATGCATACAAGTATGATAATAAACTAATAAGGATTATAAGACCAAATATAAAGACGCACATTGACTAGTATCTACATACCGTGAGTGGACATTAACCATGTGAATGTAGCAAGAAATTTATCGCGAGTATTGTAACTTCGACCCCACCATGATTCAATACATATTTAACTCTGAAGTGAAAGTAGTTTTGATTTTCTAACTTGATGAAAACAAACTATAATCTCATTAATTCTAACAGACTTCACGATTTTCAAAATGGCGGCGCCTCTGTCGTGAACATCCGCCAGTCTGAGGATAAATGCTATTTAGGTTTGTTTTCACTGAGTGTAAAATATTTATTTTAGTGATGGCCAATAGGATTTTGCATGACATAGCCTATAACATAACAATTTCTCTCCTGAATATAATACTACTTACAATATTATTGTTACTTCGAAACCTCACTTCGAGGAAGAAATCATTATGTTACAAGTTGTGTCATGGAAAATCTTTATGGTCATCAATCATATACATATTTTACTACAACTAGTAAGTAGTTTTGATTCTTTAACTTCCGTGCAGCGATATCTGAACACAAGTAAGATATCGCTTTCAGGCTTCCACAACGCCAGCTTCAGGCGACTCACAAACATAACCCATTTAGCACCGAACTGCGGGGTCCTGTGGAAATCTGTGCATGGTGACACTATCGCCCGACCCTAGGAGCAATTGACGACAAAGCAACGATTCGCATGTCGCCGTTGAAATGTGTTGCTTCACTGTCGTTCCTCATTTTACAAGATTGCTTCCTACTTATGCAGCCACAAGAAAAATTTGGTGTTCCGCATAAGACTGATATAACCATTTAAGAAAACCCGATTTGTATTTGAACACAGCACTGGTACTGACATCTAGATCAGTATTAACAATGGAAGGCCATTTGTCTGGAGGAAAACACACACAACTTCAATATATACCAGCCATATTTTAAAATCTATTACCTCCACACACAACCCAATATATACAGCCAAATTTTAAAATGAATGGAAACCTGCCTCTTGACATATAGTTAAGATCCTGCATCTGGGGATCATCTCAACAAATACCCCCAAAACTACACCAGGGCCCACTTGCACAAAGCAATCTTAGCTCTACGACTATCTTAAGCCTATGTTGGAGAATGGGAGTTACAATCACTGTAGCACTAAGATCGCTTTGTGCAAGTGGGCCCTGAACATTAACTCTATCACAGTCAGACACTATGAGATCACATCTCCCCTGCAGAATGCATAATTGGGTATCACTGTCCACAAAACATTGTCACATATTAAATAAGGTTACGGATTGTGGTAAAAATTATGTTTTGAGCATATGAAATAAAAAATGCAGATTGAAACAAGTTGTCAAAGATTCCTGAAGTCCACTGATATTATTAGTTTCAACTGAATCAACATCAGCTACTTCTACTTTTATATCTATTTTGTCCTCATGACATGACAATAAAAATGCCTGTACTCATGTAAGCTCAAAGTCCCAAATCATCATAAACAGATCACTCTTGTCTGCTTCATTATCAGCTCCCAAAGCAGTATACAACAGTAACTGTTTGTGAAAAGCCATGAGGCTACCAGTCTCATACCATCCTACAGGGTGAAGGATCTACCATGTTTTCAATTTGCAGGTTTTGAATTCATGCAAACACATTTGATTTATCCCATGAAAATGGCGACACACTGCACAAACACTGATGTACAATAGTTTTGGGCTCAGATTGTGAGGTAGAGCATGTACCAGTCCCCCTAGTGTTAACACCAGCCGTCATACACACAGCGCCCCAATCCCCCAGCCTAAGTTTTAGTTGTGTGTGGAGCCCTGGCTCACCGAAAAGCTCTGTTGATCGATGGCGGACTGACAAATACCACAGACAATGCATCCCTCCTCACATCCATGACATACCCCGGGTCATGTGACCTGTTCACAGTACACAGGTCTGTCCTGTTAAACATCAGCAGATTTACAAATAACTGTGAAAATCTTTCATTAAGGCACTGTCAGAGTTTAACTGAAGAAGATTAACAGCAGAGTGACAGCAGAGATTTAATTAATCCAACAACATCCGCCTTGAGTGAGCTAACCTTCAAATTCCCAAGCACAGAAATCAGCCTAATGAGCTAGCTAGACAATTTCCATGTCCTCAACCATCCCAACGAACTCAGTCCTGAATATCTCTTCCTTACATCCGGCCCCTTATACTCACTCCCAACCACTCCTGACTCAAATACCCCTCCCTTCCTTCTCTCCATATCCCTTCCACACTCAACATACCCTTCATACAACAGCTGATACAAGACTTCCTCCATATTAGTGAGTGAGTGAGTTATTATTTAACGTCACATCGGCAATATCCTCCATATTAACTCCACACTCTGACCTCCCCAACAACTCTGTCCTTCAAATGATTCCACATCTACCCTGTCCTTCATAACCTCTCGATTTACCATAACTTTCATAACTCCTCCAAATCTCCACTGTTCTTCACAGCCCTTAAAACAAAGTTTGTCCTTCATAAAATCTAGGCAGGGCCTCTTCATACACAACCATACTCTTTTTCCCAAACAAAATGTTATTCTGTGGCCAAATGTACTGATGGTCTACCTTAGCCAATGTATTGAGGATTTATATGGCAATGTATTGATTGTCAACAGTGACCATGGCATATATTGCTGAGTGCGGCGTAAAACTAAACTCACTCACTCACTCAACAGTGACCATTGTACTGAATGGCTATAGTGGCCAATGTATTGATAAATGATAGTTGCCAATGTATTGATGATCAATACTGGCCAATGTATTGATGGTCTACAGTACCCAACATATTGATGATCGATAGCGGCCAATGTATTGATGGCCTACAGTAGACAATGTATTGATAATGGATAGTGGCCAATGTATTGATTATCAATGGTGGCCAATGTATTGATGATTAATAGTGGCCAATTTAATGTATTGATGGTCCACAGTAAAGAATGTATTGATAATCAATGATGGCCAATGTATTGATTATCAATGGTAGCCAATGTATTGATTATCAATGATGGACAATGTATTGATGATCAATGGTGGCAAATTCAATGTATTGATTGTCTACAGTACCCAACATATTGATAATCAATGGTGGCCAATGTATTGATGATCAATAGTGGCCAATGTATTGATGATTAATGATGGCCAATGTATTGATGATCAATGGTGGCCAATGTATTGATGATCAATGGTGGCCAATGTATTGATGATCAATGGTGGCCAATGTATTGATGATCAATGGTGGCCAATGTATTGATGATTAATGATGGACAATGTATTGATGATCAATGGTGGCCAATGTATTGATGATCAATGGTGGCCAATGTATTGATGATCAATGGTGGACAATGTATTGATGATCAATAGTGGCCAATGTATTGATGATCAATGGTGGCCAATGTATTGATGATCAATGGTGGCCAATGTATTGATGATCAATGGTGGCCAATGTATTGATGATCAATGGTGGCCAATTCAATGTATTGATGATCAATGGTGGCCAATTCAATCTATTAATGATCAATGGTGGCCAATATATTGATGATCAATGGTGGCCAAATGTATTGATGATCAATGGTGGCCAATGTATTGATGATCAATGGTGGCCATTTCAATCTATTAATGATCAATGGTGGCCAATGTATTGATGATCAATGGTGGCCAATGTATTGATGATCAATGGTGGCCAATGTATTGATAATCAATGATGGCCAATGTGTTGATAATCAATGATGGCCAATGTATTGATGATCAATAGTGGCCAATGTATTGATGATCGATAGCGGCCAATGTATTGATGGTCTACAGTAGCCAATATATTGATGCAACTGCCAAAGTGTTCTCTGGCCTCAGCAACTAAATATGCTGATAGTGATGGCAGCTAATCATTTGACAAGAGTGGATGAATCAGGTTTATATGCTACCAGATTGTGCTCCACAGATGGATAATGAAGCTATTGACATGTGACAAATTCACAATGGTTTGTTTCCAGAGATGTCTACCCCATTAAATAGACACAAGGTAAATAATGATTTAATTCAAGAAGATATCAACTATGTGAAATGAGGAGAAACAAGGGTCAGCACTACACTACTGAAGGTGTGAAGTGGTTCAAGTACCCTTATCTACAGAATGAAACACCTCTCAAGGGTGATGACCAGAGGTCATGGCCCACCACACACACAAACACACATGTGACATCATGCACTGAGTTGGTTTGACCGGAATCTGGCAGCAGGCATGAAGATGAAGCCAAGGCTCCTGTGATACCTGCAGTCTGAGTGCAGTCAGGCCACGTGGGGTTAGTTTGAAACCGATCAACAAATCCTTGAAAAGATCTGAAACTGTCAGGGACAGGGGTCCTTTTAAGACACCAAGAGGCCCAGTATGGTGTTTCAACAACACTGACAATGTGTACATTCACTTAGACATCTGAAATATTGCCCCTTCTTGGAAATGAACACAGGCATTCCAGGCCATGTTTGACTTTTCTTAATTCAAACATGAATAAGTTGAAAGGGAAACAACTTGCGAAAGCAACATAATAATATCCCAGAAATGTTGTCAACTCCACCTATTTTGTGCCCCAATGTGTAACTGTGGCAATCCCTCCTAGTGCCCTGAATGGCTGCCCGGGTAATGTAAACTCCGCACCATCCTTGTCAACATCTGATGTAGACACAGCACCGCTCACTCTCAACAGGTATCCCAGCAGGCCAAGTTAACCCACGAAAACGTCTCACATACACGTAACACAAGTACGGTATTACATAAAGGACTGTCAGTAAATTCAACCCAAGACGAAAACAATAATGTGAATATTACAGATGGTGTTCAATGTGATTACAGTCATCAGGTGAAGAAAACAGTGACAAAAACCAATGTGACAATTTCGTGTTTCCACCCTGATCTATATCTTTTTGGACAACATGGATCTGTGGGATGGCCTCCTGGCACTTCTGGCTGTATTCTCTACAAGCCTTCCTCAGGTCACAGGTAGGAGTCATTTGATGACCATTGATTTGTTCTTGATACTGAAACATTTTCTGTACTTGATGTGAATGTCTGATAATACAACAGAAACACAAACATCAGAGGGACAACATATTCATAGAAAATTAACACATGATGGAAATTTTAAATAGATGTCATCAGAACTACACCCATCAACTTTTTACTTTGCATGGAATTTTCTTAATTTGTAAATTTTGAAACCATCATATATAATCTTCACACAGTTCCTGAATACAACACAAACACATCATAGAAATTACACAAAAATGATTGAAACTGCTCAAACATTTACATCATGGAAACTATTCACACTTACTGGAAAATACACTCAGATACAGCAAAGGACAGAAACATGATGGAAACTGCACAAACACTCGGGAATAAATAGAAACATGATGGAAACTACACAGACATTCGGGAATAAATAGAAACATGATGGAAACTACACAGACATTCGGGAATAAATAGAAACATGATGGAAACTACACAGACATTCGGGAATAAATAGAAACATGATGGAAACTACACACACACACTTTGGGAATAAATAAACATGAAACATGATGGAAACTACACAAACACATACACACATTCGAATAAATAGAAACATGATGGAAACTACACATTTAGAATATATAGACATGATGGTACATGTACAGAAACATGATGGAAACTACAGACACTTTCGGTAATGTACAGAAACATGATGGAAACTACATACACACATTCGGAATAAATAGAAACATGATGGAAACTACACACACTATATAGAAACATGATGGAATGTACAGGAAAGTACACACAGATGATGGAAACTACATACACACATTCAGGAATATATAGAAACATGATGGAAACACATACACACATTAATAAATAGAAACATGGAATATAGAAACATAGAAACATGATGGAAACTACACACACACACATTTGGGAATATATAGAAACATGATGGAAACTACATACACACATTCAGGAATACATAGAAACATGATGGAAACTACACACACACATTTGGGAATATACAGAAACATGATGGAAACACACACACACACATTTGGGAATATACAGAAACATGATGGAAACTACATACACACATTCAGGAATATACAGAAACATGATGGAAACTACATACACACATTTGGGAATATACAGAAACATGATGGAAACTACACACACAAATTAGGGAATATATAGAAACATGATAGAAACTCCACACATATTCGGAAATATACAGAAACATGATGGAAACTACACACAAATTAGGGAATATATAAAAACATGATGGAAACTACACACACATTCTGAAATATACAGAAACATGATGGAAACTACATACACACATTTGGGAATATATAGAAACATGATGGAAACTACACACACACATTTGGGAATATACAGAAACATGATGGAAACTACACACACACATTCAGGAATACACAGAAACATGATGGAAACTACACACACACATTCGGGAATATACATACACATGATGGAAACTACACACACACATTTGGGAATATACATAAACATGATGGAAACTACACACACATTCCAGAAACGACAGGAACACGAAAAACTACACACACGTTCCAGAAGCTGCACACACATTTTTAATAACTAAATAAACAAGAAGAAAACTACACTTTATTCTGGCAACTACAGGCACACAATAGAAACTACACACACATACCAGAAACTACACATAAACACATTCGGGAAACTGCAGAAACATGATGGAAACTACCTCCATTCCAGGAACTAAACAAATGCTGGTAAACATGACAGAAACTATACACAAATCATGGAAACTATACAAACATAATGGAGATTACACATACACATATTTTAGAAAGTACAATATTTTATCACATGGACAATGCATAAACTGCACACATACAGGGAAGCAAGACTACACATTTCACAGAGATTACATGCATACATCATAGAATCAACACTTTCATCACTGAACTTACACACAGATCAGTGAGTGAGTGAGTTTAGTTTTATGCCGCTAATAGCAATATTCCAACAATATCACGACAGGGGACACAAGAAATGGGCTTCACACATTGTACCCATGTTGCAAATCGAACATGGGTCTTTGGCATGATGAGCAAACACTTTAACCACTAGGCTACCCCACCGCCCCAACACAGATCAGAGATACAAGACTCACATCACAGAAACACAACACACAATTCCTGGGAATTACATACATATGGTGGCAGGGAAGACATAACTGAAACAAAAAACTTGAAAGTGCTCTTGTGCCCACTGGTTTGTGATGGGTGTGACATAAAATGGCCTTTACAGAGATGTAACCAACAACATGGTTACAAGGGACAGGTTATCAGTCCCATATTTGGACATATTTAGTAATTAAGTATGGGATCTCAGATGTGAATATCATCAAATGTTACAGAAAAATGTCAATGTACTCTTTTGAATGTTTGCATTAGAGCTTCAATGTGCTTTAAGTCGGAAAACATCATTCTTATATTCAATAAAATGATTCCAACAATCTCAGCAAGAATAGAAAGAATCACATGTGATCAAATGTATGAATCATTTACTTCAGTAGTACTTCCGACATTCAACTCCAGACCACCAAGTGAAATAAATGTTCACAAAAGTGTAACTTCAACGATTTTTAATGTACATAAACATTTGATGAGAATTTCACCCCAAGGAGCTATTCCGTGTGCGTTTGTTTACAATGTGTATTGGTGGTGACGCATACACACACATACAACACCCTCTAACACAATGGACACTGCAGTGCTCTAACAGCCTTCAATCAGTTTTTGTTTACAATAGCCAGCATTCAGATGAGTCTCCACATTAAAGTCGAGCTCGTATTGGGAGAGCCTTTACATTACAGGACAGGATGTTTAAAGGAGGGGATTTTTCAGGTGATAACAGCCTTCAGAAGCTACATGTTTGACAAATTGTGTAAGAGGGGTGTTCAGGCTTCAATAGGATATTTACTGTGAAAACAGAGATAATTTTCTGCCCATTGTTCGAGAGTGGTTGAAAGTTGTTTTACACCTCAGTCACCATTACAGCTATTTCAATGTATTTTGCATGGAACTGAATCTTGACTAGCCAAGCCTGTTGAAGACAGCATGAACAACCATCTAGGACATGGGGCACTCTGAGTGAGTGAGTAAGTGAGTGAGTTGAGTTTTACGCCGCTTTTAGCAATATTCCAGCAATATCACGGCCGGGGGACACCATAAATGGGCTTCACACATTGTGCCCATGTGGGGATTCTAACCCGGGTCGTCAGCGTGACGAGCCGACGCTTTAACCATTAGGCTACCCCACCGCCCTGGCACTCTGAGACACACACAAACCAGTGGCTGATAGAATAAGCAACTATATGATGGCAGGGTACATTAACATACAGGACACACAGACAATCTCACTGATATTTAAGCCTGGCTTGGTGAATGTCTAAAACCTTCATCATATTGATAATTGTCTCCATCATCATTGAAACAAAGTTAAACAAGAAGACAAAGTCATCAATATCCCCCTCAACGGCAAAATACTCTTTATGAATATGTCTACTAGTTAGTTATGATTATGTCAAATGTTTTGGAGTGTATACAGCAGAGTGGAAGGAGAGTATTGAAAGGTTTTTAAGATTTGCTCCAGAGAGGAGCACTACCACCAAATTCAGTTGAAGCCTAACTTGTTGCCATGGAAATGCAACAAGATGACATCCTCATAGTCACAGCCTAAGTCACGTTTCCATGGAAACCACAAAAAATAAACATCATATCTGGGTCTAAACCCCAAAAGGCACATCTACGGATCATGCTTGATATGTGTGCCAAGTTTGATGAAGCTAGCATGTATAATTTAGGAGATCTGCTCCGGACAAGATGACATCCTCATAGCCACAGCATAAGTCAAGTTTCCATGAAAACCGCAAAAAATAAAATTCATATCTGGGTCTAACCCCCAAAATGCACATCTAGTGATCGTGCTTGACATATGTACCAAGTTTGATGAAGCTAGCATGTATAGTTTGGGAGATCTGCTCCGGACAAGATGACATCCTCAGAGTCACAGCCTAAGTCTAACCCCCAAAAGGCACATCTAGGGATCATGGTTGACCTGTGTACCAAGTTTGGTTAAGCTATCACCAATAGTTTAGAAGATATGCTTCGGACAAAGTGTGATGGTTGCACAGATGCACGGATGGACGGACGGACACACGGAACTCGTTTCTATATCCCCCATAACAACGAAGTTGCGGGGGATAAATAACATCCTCACATTAATAATACCTTATTCCTCTATAACATTACCTAATCCTGTTAACATTACAGCATCCTTGGATTTTGATAATCTGATCCTATTAACATTACTGTATCCCTGGAATTAGATAACTTACAAGTGTTGTTCAGCAATCTTTGTTTTAAACACACTATTTTGTAATTCTTCGGAAATCCCGAAAATGTAGCTAAGTAAAGTACATTATGTGAAAGCGACACTCCCTTATGTTTATTGTTATGAAAGAGAGACACTAAAGATATTTATTTTTTCTGTTTCTGACTGTAGTGGAGAATATTCTGGTGAAAAAAAAATAATACTAGTTATGAATGTTTGAGAACTGTGCCAGTCGAGAACTTCAAATGTCACATATCATCTTGGCAAAAATCTATGCTCATATAAATTCAAATTGCATTATTTGATTCACATGAATTTCACAGAAATCAAATGTTTAGAGACAAGAACATTTTTAGAAATCAATATTTACATGATAATTAACACAATGTTACCATAATCAAGTATTCCAATGTGGTTGTTTTTTTCAAATGTGTTTCATGAAAATATATACATAAAATGTAATGGACATATTTTGCATACCTTGTTTTATAATGTGCATGTAAATTACATCCTTAACCATACACAGACATAGTGTAAATATGTTAAACCTTTGGGATCCGTCAGTCTTATTTTCA